CCATTTTGTACCCAAAATTGAGTTAACAAAATTTGGTGCCCTCACATGGCTTTATGTCAAAGCCAATATTCTCATCAATCAATTTCATTCAGCAGCATTGGCGGAGATAGGGGGCATGGAGTCTCAGCCCCTCCGAAATTTTTGAGAAAAAATTTAACACTTGACTTTTTTTCATTTTTTGATATATCTGAATGGTATATAAAAGAAAATAATCATTCTTTTTTCCTAAATTCTTCTTCAAAGTTGAACTTAAGATCTCAAATTTGAGATCTCAAATTTGAAATCTCAAATTTTTAATCATTGAATCATTTATTAAAGGTAAATTTAGCACTTATTATTAGATAAAGATAACTTTTTTTAATATTAAGAATTATCTCTTCCTTCACTAATGACCTTTCTGTTATAATTATGTGTAATCTAAATTGCAAAATAAATAACTCATTTTGATAATTACCATCCATATTTTTATTTAAATCCTGCTATCTTCCCTCGACCTGATTTCACTGCATGGCAAGTATTCAACGGAAGACTGAAACCGACAAGTTTATTGGCTAATAGAGGTGTGATTTTGGATAAATGCTGCACTTTCCATGCATTGGAGGATGAAACACGCCAGCATCTTTATTTTCCGTGTCCTTTCATTCGTATGGTTTGGTGATCTGTATTGAGAGGCTGGAATTATCCATAGTCCGGTTAACTGGTAAAGTAAATGGCTACGGCTTCAAAGGCATGGTAAAAGAAAGAGGTTTGATAGCAAGTAGAATCGAGGCTTTATTTGCTGCCGCCGTTCATTGCACTTGGCACGAGAGAACCTGCAAAATCTTTTGGGAATGAGCAAAAATCCATTTAGCTCTAGTTAATTGGGTTAAACATTTCGTTGACTTGAGATTAAACTAATACGTAATTAGTGCCTGGGTTAAGCTTTTGTATTTGAATGTGTTCATTACTAATAAAAAGCTTGTATTTGCCCTTTAAGAAAAAAAAAAAATATATATATATATATATATCATGATTCTGTCAACATATGCAAGCTTATAGATAAAACCGAAAACGGATCAAATATATAGAAATGCAGGATTACTTGTTTACAATTCACTAAACAAAAGGTTCTGATATGCCTTGTTTCTACTTCATGTTGTGGCCCTTTCTTAGTGAAATACAAGATAACACCATCTGCAATTCAATTCTTCTACAAATCAGCACATTATCATTTTTCTTTGCTTCTCTTTTAACGAGCATAGACTCAGAAAATTTTGATTCTGAATAAAATCTGGCAAACTAACCATCATTTATCTCTCAAGACAACATAATTGGGTCCATTTGTTTTCTGTATTTTAGAAATTCTCCTCAGGATGGCTGCAAAGGCATTCTTGTCCTGCAGCAATGAATAATCATTTATTATTAAGAAAAACAGAGAATCTACCACTGAGGTAGATGCTTGGAACAACTCTTAAGAAGATTTCGTGCAGAAGGCCAGCTAAATGCATTTATAAGGTAATCTTAAGAAGAGTACTTTAAGAGCTAAGAATTACAGTGGGCGCAACATTGGTTATTTTCTTTAATAGGGAATAAGAATATCTATTACCACGTTCCACTAAGTTTTAGTTATTCCAAAGTTGGTACCTAATTTACAACAAAAAAACCAACCCATAAGAATATCTATTACACTAGGTTTAAGGTGAGAGCAATGTTGGTTATTTTCTTTAATGGGGAATAAGAATATCTATTACCACCTTCCACTAGGTTTTTAATTATTCCTAAGTTGGCACCTAATTTACAACAAAAATAACCAACAAAAATAACTAATCTGAACTTAGAATGAAACACAAGAAAGCACCTACCCATAAGAAATGTTTCCCAAAACCTATGTGTAATCTAGGCACAAATAAATAATTATGGTAACTCTTAGAAGTTAGAAAATAAAGCATAAAAACTCTTCTTTTAACAGCAAGTCAAACACTTGAGCAAAAATGTAGGCAAAATGATTGGTCGGTGAGAATAGACATACCTCAGGTGATTTAAGCCGAGCTTTAAATTTGGCAACAAGATCCTGTGTAGTTACAGGCGCATTTTGCAATAAAACAGCCCGAATTTCTTCTTCAGTCACAGGTCCAGCAGCTGAAGTTGACCCAGCTCTTGATGATGGAGTACCTGAAGTTGATCCAGGTCTTGAAGATGATTGTGTCCCTCTTGGAGGCATGCTACTTTTTGAAGCAGGTGAATTTTCTTCTTTAATAGAAGGTTTTGACTCCTGGTCCTCCAAAATACAATGTCAAGTTATAATAGAAAAAGTGTCTATTAAATTGTACAACAGTAAAGAAACAACATAACATTGGTTATGATGCTTGCGAGTCTCAGGCAACTAAAATTTGGTAATTCACAACGCATGCAAAAACCCAGTGGAGCGGTTTGCTGTGGCTTAAAAGTTTGCTTTTAAGCAAATTCTTCCCTCACAAACTTGAAAATTTGTTGGAAGAAAAATTGCATTTGGCTTTTAAAGAGGGATGTAAGCAAACTTTGAGAATGCTACACATCCTATTCAGAGAATGTGCTTACAAAGCTACTTTAAAAGCCAAATTTAAATTTTCCCTCTATCAAAATTTTCAATTTGTGAGAGAAGAATTTGCTTAAAAGCAAATTCACTTTAAAGCTCCACTAAACAGCCCCACTGTTTTTTTTTTTTTCCAATTTTCACTGATAAAATTTAAGGTGCAGCTGATGTGATGATATAAGACCATATCACACATATTTACCAAAAAAACCAACTTACAGTCTCAGCCTTGACCTTCTTAATGGGTGTGCCATTAGATGCCTTTGCATCATCACCATTTGCTT